GTATGTGTGTGTATGTGTGTGTGTATGTGTGTGTATGTGTGTGTGTATGTGTGTGTATGTGTGTGTGTATGTGTGTGTATGTGTGTGTATGTGTGTGTATGTGTGTGTATGTGTGTGTATGTGTGTGTGTATGTGTGTGTGTATGTGTGTGTATGTGTGTGTGTATGTGTGTGTGTATGTGTGTGTGTATGTGTGTGTATGTGTGTGTATGTGTGTGTATGTGTGTGTGTATGTGTGTGTATGTGTGTGTGTATGTGTGTGTGTATGTGTGTGTATGTGTGTGTATGAGTGTGTGTATGTGTGTGTGTATGTGTGTGTGTATGTGTGTGTGTATGTGTGTGTGTATGTGTGTGTATGTGTGTGTGTATGTGTGTGTGTATGTGTGTGTGTATGTGTGTGTGTATGTGTGTGTGTATGTGTGTGTGTATGTGTGTGTATGTGTGTGTATGTGTGTGTGTATGTGTGTGTGTATGTGTGTGTGTATGTGTGTGTGTATGTGTGTGTGTATGTGTGTGTATGTGTGTGTGTATGTGTGTGTATGTGTGTGTGTATGTGTGTGTGTATGTGTGTGTGTATGTGTGTGTATGTGTGTGTGTATGTGTGTGTGTGTGTGTATGTGTGTATGTGTGTGTGTATGTGTGTGTGTATGTGTGTGTGTATGTGTGTGTGTATGTGTGTGTGTATGTGTGTGTGTATGTGTGTGTATGTGTGTGTATGTGTGTGTGTATGTGTGTGTGTATGTGTGTGTATGTGTGTGTGTATGTGTGTGTGTATGTGTGTGTATGTGTGTGTGTATGTGTGTGTGTATGTGTGTGTATGTGTGTGTGTATGTGTGTGTATGTGTGTGTATGTGTGTGTGTATGTGTGTGTGTATGTGTGTGTATGTGTGTGTGTGTGTGTGTGTGTGTGTGTGTATGTGTGTGTGTATGTGTGTGTATGTGTGTGTGTATGTGTGTGTGTATGTGTGTATGTGTGTGTGTATGTGTGTGTGTATGTATGTGTGTATGTATGTGCATGTATGTACACATACACATATACATACAATGTGTATGTATTCTCAAATTGTGTGAATGTTAGTAAATGACTGTGTATGTGTCAGTTTAATGTAAGTAGTATTTGTGAGTATGTATGCGTATGAAAGAATGGCATGTAGGTCCCGTAACGAAATTATCATATAGTACAATTGATAGTTATTCGATTGCGGTCAATTTCTCTATTAGTACATATGGTGATTTAATGTAAAGTCAGTAATGTAGTTGTTAGTTGACCCTAAAGCTTCACTAACTATTATTTTGCGTTTATGTATAGGAAATGTAGCCTGTAGTTATGAATGATAATTGTATCTATGTCATTAACTGACTAAAATAGACATTAATTGGGGTGTGTGTTGTGTGTTGTCGGTGTGTATGTGTGTGTTTTATAATTATTTATATATACACCCACACACACATATATATACATATTTGTTTATATGTGTACATTGTTTCCTTGTGTTTGAGTATGTGAATGTGATATTAATGTAAGAATCTGTGCATCTTTGTATGAAGTATATATGTGTAAAAGTATGAATGTGTGTGTCTTTTGAAAGGGGGTTGAGACAGTGTGTGTTTATTTAAGTATGCTAATGATATATGAAGTGGGAAAATGTATAGTAGTATTTATCTATAGGATTTATTAGGTGTAACATATATAGGGTCCTAAACCGATTGTTTGACTGAGTATCATAGACTATTGTCATTTTTCTTCTCGATATGCCTAAACTTATACTTAGTTAGCATCTGAGATCTGTACCTTTGTCGTATTATTCCCATACAGTATTATTTTTGTCACAATAATCCATAATGTTTTAGGCTAATGGTGGATCATGATGTGGTGGAGCGCAAGAAAGCTCAGTCCCAAGAATATCAATAAAAAGAGTTTGATCAGCTGAGTTTGAATCACGGGCATGCGCAATCCTAGGAAACGAAAGCCGGACCGACTACTAGAGAAAAAGGCTTTCCTGAAGTAAGTTATGAGAATATTTATCAATAGCCTTTATGAGTATATTTATTAATAGTCTAACTTGATAATAGCGGAATTTAAATATTCAAAGCCTAAAGAGGCATTCACTTGGCCTGCTCCAGCAGGGATCTCGGCCGGCATATTAGCATTCAGAGTAAGTATTTTAATAACACAGTAAGAAGATAAACTGTAGTAATGTATGTAATTAATCTATCTAAGTGTTTTTTAGGCCCGTATTTCTTATGATGCTTGGAAATATTTTATGGCGGAGGGAAGAAAGCATCTCTACGCCTATAACAATGAAAATGGGACCGAAATCCGAATCACTCGAGAAAAGACTTTGAGTGTTGAAGCCATCACAGAATTTGCAAAAAAAAAGAACTTTTTGCGAAATGGCCGCCGATCAAGGAGCGCGCTTGAAATCACTTGCAGAAGAGCTCAAGAAAGTCGTCCTATCGAAATTCATCGGGTATATCCCTGCACGATAACGACATCCGTCAAATAGCACTCAAGACCACGGGCAGTTTACACAAGAATTTTCAAAGCTAGGCTCTCTTGGATTGCACGCCTCGAAAAGAACTCTGAGTTTGTATCCATTCGGATTAACACCTTCACGCCGCAGAAGCAGAAGCATTCGTTTCGAATGTAAAATGTGGTAAAATCTGACAGCAAGTCAGTTTCGACAGCTCTACAATACTCTTTCAAAGCTAGAATCTTGGCAACACGGAAATGTGTGCAATGCCGACCAAAGCGGCTTTGTCAAAGGACGTATCCATCTCGATCGCTTGCTCCTAATTTAAGAAGGTGGAAAGAATGTGCTGTTGACATCTTCAATAACTGATTCGTTTACGGTGATGCCGACGCTAAACGCGGATGGTTGTTGTCTTGCAGGTCAGGAAAAACCTCACACCTCTGCAATAATAGTTTGAGAAAATGTCAGGAGCCTCAAGGAAAATTTCCTGACAAAGGAAATCCTCAACTCCTACCTGGAGGTTCGAGCAAGTACACTTCATATAATGAATAAGAGACTGCTCTTGGACTGGTTTCAAAATTGTCTTATGTCTGACAGATCTCTGGCCACACTTTTGCTCGTGAATTTTTGGAGCTCTTACAAGGACCATGAGGCCATCAGATCCATGCTTCCGAACGGCAGTGATATCAAAATATTGAAAATCCACCAGGGAACACTTTAGTTCAGCCTCTCGATGTCTTCTTTTTACCCTTCAAGGAATGTATAAGAGATTTACTACACACGTTATTGCTCAATCTTTCCTTTCCTGCCCACTTTCGTGACTCGATTCTGCGTTTTCTCTCCCTCTCTCATCTACCATCAATTCCCCCCCCCCCCCCCGTTATAGGTGCATTCTGAAGTACTGGAAAACAGGTTACATCAGCACACATCAAAATCTCTTTGGAAACCTCTACGATACTGTTTTTTTTCAAACATCATAGGAACCGTATCATAGGAAAACTGTACCGAGGCTTCCTTTATAAGATGCTCTTATTGTTTGAAAAACTTTTCTGCTTTGAGAATTTTATTCTAAAACTAGTGAACCAGTGATAAAGGTGTTAGATTGCACGCGCGCTGAAACCGTCACACTGTTTCCCGCTGATTGCATTTTTGATTTGCGCTCACGTTTCTTTATATATTAGATATCATACAAGTGGCAGGAATCTTACTACAGTCTAGGAACGCGTTTTTCTGCTTTTTTCGCTGTATTGTGTCGAACGCTAAATTTGACAACAAAGTCTTATCTGATTGAATGCTTCACAAAAGATCTCCGCCTTAATAACTTTTTTTTGCTTTTAAAAGCACTAAAAGAAGGGCAGAATACATTGTGCTGATACAGGCAGTCGGCATGCGCATAAGCCTCATAATGGATAATGCCCCTATCATTCCAAATTCGATCTTGCACCAACACTGTCTACGAATCCTCAGATAAAGAGCTACCTAAAGTTGAAAGAAGTGACTTTGGCGGAATTGTGATTACCGCAATAGGTAAAAGGCGTTCTTTCATACCGCACTAATATCCTTCAGCGAAGAGCATGCGACAGTGACTACCATGAAGACATGAACCACCAGTGCCAGAAGCCACTGCTCAAACACACTGTAGTTCAGACCTTGATGTTAGTCAGACACACGCTCTGCCTGTCATGCTAATACGGGCGGTGGGCACACGCATAAGCCTCCTAATGGACAGCGCCCCCTATCATTTTAGACTCACACTAACTTCAGATGAAGTGAAGTATATGAAGCACATGACTCCAGTGGAATCTGGAGCCAGTTGAAAGCGCAGATATGGTGAAACGATCGATGGAGTAGAAGCGGTGATAGACCGCTTTTGATGACCACATTTAGTAATTTCCGGGATCTAATTCAACCTCGGTCAGAGGAAGAGCCGTAGGTAGATGGTAGATAGATGGGGCTATACCATCTACCATGACAAGGGAATGGTTCGAACATGTGTGAAAAAAATGTGCTCGTGTCTAGAAGGATGCTGACAATACAAAACGGATACGACTGTTGTCCAAAGCTAGATCTACCGCAAGCAATGTTCAGTTTACCGTCTGATACTCCAGAGGCTAAGCAGAATTAGTAATGTTTTATTTAGACCTCCGCAGGCTGCGCCGTAGGCCTCGGTGTGCCGCTGTCTGCGGTGTAGTCTAAGACTCTAGATTTTCAGAGACATTTTTTCACGAGATTTGGGTTTTTCACGCCGCTATTCAAATTGGTGAATAGGTCAGAAGAAAGCCAACTCCGAAATTATGCTTTGAGTTTCGAATAGAGATGAATACATTACTGACAATAACATTATACAAAAACAATACTTTCCAAAAACCTCAAACTACGGGGTTCTTCGTTATCTGCAGTAAATGAGGAGGTGGAACAAAAACAAGGTGCAACGACATTGAAACAAAAAGAACAGAATCACTGCAAGTAGGATTTACAATCACCAACTACTCCCATTTTTTCTTCAAATATCTCTTCCTCTTCTTCGTCAAATAGCATACGTATACATCATTGAATAGTCAAGCTAAAAGTATAAGTTAAAAAAACGTAACCACACTATGGCCCATATGCATAAACATCCCTGCGGTCATAAAGCTGCAGCGACAATTGTGCGCGCCCATTCCATAACCAGAAGCACCGCTCCTCCCACCGCAGAGATGTTCTTGCATACGGACTTATACAGGGTGTCCCAAAAAAAATGTATCGAACGTTTGATCGTTAATATCTCTCTTCTAAAGGAGTCTTTTCCCGTGCTTCAGGCACCAGTCTGTAGAGCTGGCTTCAACTTAAATTTGCATTGTAGAACGAATCACTCATCTCTCTTCGTTACTGTAGGATTACGGTGGAAACTTCAAAGAGAGTTTTGAGCCATGAAAGGTTATATTTTGCCTCAGAAAGGAAACAAAACAGTTTGAAAACTTTTACACTAGGCTAATTAGAGTTGCTAATTGTAAAGTTTCCGACTTAATATGATGATTCACTGAAGAGTTATGCCAGATAAGAGGTAGCGGCCATTTTTTCAATGCTCCTAAAAAGTGCGGTTACACCGTTTAGAAAGCTTCGTAATCTTGTGAATAGTTGAGTACTGAACTCAGCGTCCATAAAAACCCCAATACACAAGTTTTCACATTTTTTCAAAAATTTTGAAACGGCAGCTTTTTCCACATTGACACCATATGTTTCAAGTTTCTAACGTAATCCTACAGTAAAGAAGAGAAATGGGTGATTTGTTTTATAATGCGAATCTAAGTTGAAGCCAGCTCTACAAAATGGTACTTAGAGCAAGGCGAAAGACTTCTTGGGAAGCGAGATATTAACGATCAAACGTTCGATACATTTTTTGGGACACCCTGTATTGTCAAGTTTATGCACGTATTGTTAATCTAAGGAGCATGGGCGGCGCGCCCAAATGCTTGCAACAACATAGGTGCTGGTGTTGTCGTAATGTTTCGACTGCGGCACGTTCTTGTCAAGTGGGCCTGTCCGGGCAGCAACAACTGGACCGTACCTTGCTGGCCTTTAACTCAGCAAAGCTCAGGTGCGCAGTCCACACAGGATTATGCAGGAAATTAAAATTCAGTAAACCGTGCAGCAAAGGTCTTGTCCATTTCAGGCGTAAATAGAAACCAACAAGAAGGTAAGAAGGAGCTGCTTATAATGACAATCAGCTTTATGGCTGTTGGCCATACCAGTCGTCTTAATGGAGACCAGGCCAAATGCTTGCTTGAAATAGCGCGCTCGCAACGCTAAGTTTTGCGGTGCATGTGCGCGCAAGTGTTGCTTGATAGAACGACAAAATGAAAAGAGAAAGGGGAGAATTTGACAAGACTACCTTTAGAAAACCGCACACGTGATGCAATAGCACTGCGGACGCAGTTTATATCACTTTCGGCCTGATCCACATTGACCATGATGAAGTTAGCCTTTCTAAGCAGTTGGACCGAAATATCCAGATTATCGCTATTAACTCTCTGCAGAACTGGTTGACAATTTCCGCAACCGCATTACAGAAGTCGAGCATGTCACTCATTTTGGTCATTAAGTGTTATATACCTTAACCCCTTCTAATCATACGAGACCTAAAACAACTTGGGCAGCTTTAAGAAACTAACGTCTCTTGCTTACATGCTTAGCAGCCATGTCAGGTCATGTCAGATCGTTGCTCCTTTTTTTCAGCTTGTCATGCTGTGTAGAGTTGAATTTAGGCCCTGAATAGTGCTTGATGAACTAATGAACTGCCAAGTAGGTGCATCGCTTTTTACTATGGGGGTTTCGAAGTCATCGCCGAGAAAAGAGAGTTTTAGAAAAAGAGAAATGTTTTGAGATGAAATGTCATAATCCAAAACTAACCAGGGAATAACCACAGCATGGAATGAGATTGAAAACGCATCTTTGACGGAGAGAAAAAATATTAGATTGTTCGGAAGATAATGTCGTATCGTATTTTATCATTCACTATCGCAGCAGGTTGCGCACAAAAGTAAATAAGTGGGGTATCAAGCGATAGACCAGAGCAAGCTCTACAAAATGAAGCTCGAGCCTTCGCGTCAGGTTTGATTTGCGTGAAGTTTGAAGCCAAATTTCATAAGGCATTAAAGACCTAAAAAACGAAAAAAACTGTATCTCCGTCCAGGAAGTCCTGAGAACCTCTAACTTGCTCACGCATGGACTCACTATACGGGACACTTGTATGCACATTTTCAGAGTTTTTCCATGGCTGAAAATTGAGAAAACGAAATTCGGCATATTCTGTCAAAACAATCCTGAGCTCCCCTCACATGGACGATTCTGTAGTACAAACCATTAGAAGTATAACCGTGAGTTTTCAGCTTTAGACAAGCGCTAGTGTACGAGAAAAATCAAATTGTTTGCAAAGAAACCGAAAAACGCGACATATTCGCACTTTTGACCTCTTTTTATTTCTCGAACTGTGGCCATGGGAAAATACCACAAACTATATAGGTGAATGTCTAGTGTAGAGAGTACATGCGTGTGCAAATTGAGATCCCTAAGACGTCTATGAACAAAGATACGATTTTTCGGGTATCTGAAACTTTTTATAATTTGGATTCGAACTTCAAATGGAGCAAGATTTCCGCGGTGGTTTGTAAACTACCTTGTAAAGCTTCCTTTGCTCTATCAAACTACTCCACTCGCTGTTTTTTGTGGTCATTCTGTCGCGGTGGGATGCCATGAGACATTATTTTCCAGACAACCTGATTATGCTTGCTTAGATAAAACAGACGCTCTTTCAAATTCTTCTCAAAAGATAAACAACTATTGCGCAAAGTCACAGGGAACACAAAAACCGACATAGTTCATTTCAGTTATCGCGCTTGTGACTACTATAGCCGTTTTATGGCCCGTAGTGAAGCTCCTCACTTCAGATGATCTGAGGAGGGCCTAAGGTGTTTCAATTCCAAGCGTCCATGCTCACTGCCTCCTTTTCGGTGCGTCCAAGTCCAACAAGGGCATCCTTCGATTTCGAAAAGTGAATATATATTATTATATATGAATAGAAATGGGAGACACCACCGTTCAGGCTATAGTAGCGCACATCCTCGCTAAAAAAAGAAACTACAGTTTTACGATGGCGTAATGTGGAAGTGGTGAACTTACAGTGCTTCAGCAATGCATGTTTTTGCGCCTACGCTCCATCTCGACTTTTTTCCAGAAGTAATTTGAAGGCTTTATCATGGCTCTGCTCATTTTCAGCTAACGACAGCCAAAAACTGAAAAAAAAATTTCAGCGCTAATGCTTATTGTAGATATAAACAGCACCACCTACTGAGCCGAGCCTGTGTGAACCCATCAGTTGCAGTGGTCAGCTGCAAAGTGGTTTTATGCGTAGATAGCACAAATGATTCACAATTATTTTTGAATTCCGGAAAATCCGATGCCTCTGACCGCACTCCACATTCAATCTAAGTTTTTTTGTAGCAGCAAGCCTCAGAAGTCCGTAGCCTACATGAACCGGATGGTCATGCAAACGTCGATATATGCTAATTAAGAGGGACAAATGTTAAGTGAGCACGGTCATCAGTTGTGAACGAATATCAAGAAGTGATAAGGATGCCCTGCGCTGCGACTTTGATCTTTTCGAACGAATCCCGAAGTGAACGCAGTATTGTGGAACATACTCAAACTTCAAACTTCCACCCACCTACATAGCGCACAGTGAAGGTTATTACAGACTGACCGTTTCCCGGAAAGTGTTCGGCAGCAAAAACTACAGAACACATAGCTTCTCAAGTGCAAATCCGCCTCCAGCTTTCTCCCGTATATTTTTGAGGCACTCTACAAAGCAGATCTGATAACAAGGAAAAGCTTCGAGAGCTAACTATATCTGGCTGTCTTCCAGTGACCACCTCTTTTAACATGAGCATCCTCCTTAGCTCTTCCGTAGTGGTACCATGCTTCACAACATGGCAGGTGAAATACAGAAGTCTATCTTGACGTCATCAAAATATTCCCTTGCAGATTCACTTAAACCACATTTTGGTACCTTCTTGAGCTAAGTGTGCTGCCTCTTGCACAAAATCCTGATTAGGTCCTGACTCGCCCCCTTCGTCGCCCCTTGGATCGGGAGCAGCATCCAGTAGGTAGGTCCACCATCCAGTAGTTCCACCATCAGCAGGAGGATAAGAAGTGCCTTCGAAAATTGTCTTGGCCCATTATTCACTCAAAAATACCTTTCGACGCTCTTAAATATTACGGTAGGTACGAGAGGAGTGGATGTGGCGCATGGGTTAAGACTTGTCACAAGAAAAGGACACCGGCTGATACATCACATGACTTCTTTCTGATTGTGCTCGGCTGTTCTACTCATTTTCGGATTTTAAAGAAGGAGTTATATTGTTACGAAGTGTAGATGTTTCAGTTTCGTTTGAGTATGTGCATAACCGTTGGTGGTTAAGATATGCATTCAAGATACAAGATGAATACCGGCAAAATAACATATTAAAGGCAGCCCTGAAAGCTCAAATACGGGTTCCTCAACCCCAAAGGCCCCAAAAGGGTAAAAAACCAAAAAAACGATTGCCGGAACACTGCCCTTAAGCCACTCAGATACAGATACTCACCTTGAAATGATTGAGATTATCAGGCCTGTGGAGATCTCTGAGAAATTCACTGCGCCTGCGATGACGATTACGTCGCAAATAAGAATGGAGCACCTAAATCACTGAAAATACAGCAGGGAGAAAACGAAGAACAAGCTGAGGTAGACCATCTACATAAGCCTCTGCAAAACTGACCCGTGATACGTTCGAACGCTCGCTGGTTTCCGTGTGAAGGTTATCAGACTGCATCTGTGATAAGCTAGAAAAGTCGGGCACAGCATAGAATCTTCTAGTACATAGATTGGATATCCACTTGATTTAAATCAAGAACTACATCAAAATTCATGCGCATAAAGATTATTAGTTTAAGGTTTTTTATTGTATTAGGTGTACATTTTTGCTATGATTGCTTCTACTTCTTTCGAATGAACGTTATATAAATCCGATTCGGCAGATGACTGAAAAAAAAATTTTTTTTGATAAAACTGAGTTGTTTTCTCAAATACTGTTACCTTTATTCGAATCTTTTGGCTTGGGAATTATTCACCATTTCTAATGCCAAGATTAGGGACGCTTGTCAGATTGAGAGTGAAGACGAGTACACAGAAATAAGTAATGCGGACGAGTAAAGAAATACCTATATTGCTAAGCAATAAGAAGAAAGAGAACAGGAAGAAAGAAGAAGAAGATGATGATGAAACAGCCAAAAAATCGTCCCATAAGTTTTGAGAAAGCATAGAAGAGAAGAGAGTGAAGGTTCGACAATGAGAACACAAAATAGTTGAGTTCTTACTTTCTTTTCTTTGAGTTCCATCCTGCGAACAGCTTCTTCCCATATAAAACGCCTTTGCGCATGTAGTCGTGCGCTGCTTTTCTCGACTTGCTGTTCGCTGAAAAAGGAAATTTCATTACAAACAACTAACAAAAGAGACATAAACTTACCTGCAAACGAAATCCTAAAGTGTATTTCGACATCCGCTTTCTCAAACGGCCCTCGAAACGTGGTCCCGCGCCGATCGGCCGGCTAGCACGACAATGTTCGCGGGAACTTTTCTTTAGTGTAGTTTATGGGAACTTTTCTACCTTTGCCAAAGTTCCCAAGCCCTTTCTCCGGAACTTCGCATTCACAGCCTCCCTTGACGTCAAATCACGGGAACTTTCTAATTTTTATACTCCGATGGTTAACAAGGTCCTCCGGAACTTCGACAATTTTTGCATGTTCGCCGGAACTTCCCGGCGTTTGTTTGAGCTTGACATTCGTAAAGTGCATTTATTACCAGCATCACTTCACGATTCCCTTACCTCTTGACACGATCTCTCTCAGGTGAGGCGTGCCGCATCTGCTTGACTCTCAGTGCGAGAGGCAATCGGTATTTCCAACGGACTTTTACGACCCTCAGACCGTCTCGAATAGTCAATGCAGCTAATTTTGCAAAATCCATCTTGCTTCTGGGATGGGGCTTCATTCAGTGTGGTTGATATATGAGCGAGGATACTTTTGAAAAGGTTATACAGCAAATTCAGCAGGCGTATTCAGTAGTTTCTAAAAAAATTTTCAAGTCAGAAACCTCTTCATTTTAACAGGAAGAAAAGGTTTTTGACTTAATTCCACTTGTCGGAGATCCTTTCCTCCTGCAGGTAAGTAGTTGCAATGCGAAAACATTGTGTAGACGCTGTCTTCGTTTCACGGTGCAGTCAGCAGTATACGTGACTATCAAAGAAACCCCTTCGGCACTTTTGAAACTTCATCTTCCTTGGCTGCTTCCAATGTCTTGGCTTAATGTACTTCCAAAGATGCTCCTGCAAGGCTGTTCTACAGCTGGCTTGTAATAGATCCACTCCACCTGTGCAGAGCAAAAGTTCCGCAATCGCTCAACGTCCAAGGTTTTTACGCAGCATAGAATGGCTAAAGCGATCAGCCAAGTTTGAGTCAAAACTTCTCAGCTCTTTCAATAAGTTTGGTCCTGGTAAATTTCGTGGCAATTTTGGCAGGTATTATGATAAAGATGAAATTTACCATTTTTCATGGAGTTAGAGCAAGAGAATGAAAAGAAAATTTCCAGCCGAAAAGCGAAAACGTATGTGAGAAAATGGAAGATGCAGGCTTTTGAATCCCATAAAAAGTTATTAAAATGAACAGTTCAAGAAAATTGGCTCTTGGAAAAAGAAGTAAGAATAATGTGCATCAATCATGAACCAGCCTAATGTGGTGATATGATGATAATATTATGATGATAATACACTACAATGTATGTAGAATGCAACTCGAGCACTTGACTGTACTCTAATAAATGTGAGTATCTTGCTCAAGCCGCAAAAAAGTTTAAAAGACATTTTGAGCAATCAATCAAAGTCATTGTCTCGTGGTCTCTATCTGGAACCGGTCGCTTTGTTGTGGGTTTGTACATCTGCCTCATCGCGACCAAAAAACATTTTTTTGCTGTCACCTCGAAATCCGCCCATGTCGCTAAAAACAGTCGTTGATCTTTTGTTAACTATTTGTCTGAAAAAAAACCTCCGTTAACGTGCAGGCGTGAAAATACGAGGAGCGATAAACGACCCAATAAACGGGTACTATCAGCTTTCTCGCCAATGATCAAGCTAAGATAGCTTTTAATAAACACTATGACGCCATTTTCGAACGATATATTTCCAAATTTCACCGAGCTCAGTATTAGCGCATCCTCGCGTTGTTTTGCTATGCATATCTAGGTGGCAAACCTCCTGCGGATTATCGCTTTTACGATCGCTCAGACCTACATATGGGTCATTTGTCTACTAGTATGTGCTCTTCTGCCACTTAACTATGCATAGCCTATGTTTTTACACCAGAGCTTGGCACAAATCCCATTCCAAAATCTATTACGCTACTCCTAAACGGATGTCAGAACTTGTTCTGCACTACAATGCATAATGTTATGTAGGAATTTGGCTGGATAGAAATTGGTTGCATCAAGTTTGCGCACAACCTATTCGACTAATGTCATAGCTTTTAGTAGTAACATAGCAAATCCTCCTTGCTGTCCGTTTCTTTCTTACATCTTGTGTAATACGCTCAAATGTAGCTGCTTGGTGTTCATCGTTCGACATGAAAGCCATACCCAAGTCAAATTTCAATTGATCTAGCTTAGTTCTGAGATAGATACCCATCTGTTATAAGCTCAAGAACTCACGTGCGTCGTTATATGATAAGATATTCAAAAAGGTTTCAAATTGATTAGCTGAATATATTGGAGATGTAAAAATGCCATATAATCCATTGCTCGAATACAAAACGAAATAAGAACAGTGTGACAAATCAAATATATTCGCTCGTTATTTGTAGAGTCGAATCGAAGTATAATTTAGATTCTGTAGATCGTTTCATAGACTAAGATTTTTCAGCGAGTTTCATATGCTTGAGTCGAATAAACTCAATCTTCTAGCTGTCGAAAATTATTAATTTCATCTGGTGTAGTGAAAAATTTTTATACTTGAGGGTAGTCAAACAAGGGAATAATCATGGTGAAGATGAGCATCCAAATAATGAAATATTTATACCTTAGTGTCACGAGTACAAGATGCAACTTTTTCAGTTTCAAGCAAGCCTGTGCCTCACGAAATGATCGCTCTCCCACACAATTATTTCAAGTGAGAAGGCAGCAAGTAGAGTTCGAAATTCCTTGGTTTGTTCTGGCTGGTCTAATATATAAAATAACGGGTGCTTGTACTGGTGAAATTAGGGTACATGTTCATCACCTTCCTCTGGAAAACGATCATTTGTAAACTCGCTGCCCAACTTTTGGGTAGAGAAAACTAGTTAACCAGGAAGGTCGTTGGATCGGAATATTTTCTCCTCCAATGGTAATTATTTTCAAACGTCCGGAACATTTTTTCCGACTAATGCATCCGATAGCGATCGGTGCCACCGTATACAATGACATGGAAGTAAATCGAAAGCATTTGCGATGAAGAAGAAAGTGTACTCAGCATCAATAAAAAAACTTGCATGGTATCATGTAATACAGTGCACATGATACCATGCAAGTACGTCTGAATGGTTTTTTGTGTAGTTGCAGAATTTTTTAGAATATACACCGGAATCATGACTGGCGTTAGCGTACAACGTCCTCGTATCTGGCAGTTACAGTTCTCTTGAATTTCATTGAAATTATCAAAGCTCACTATCGTAGTATGATAATTGTGGGACATACAGGCAGACAGCGATAAGAGATTCGCTAATGATGTTGCCTACTTTGTGCTACACTTTTTCAATTTTTTTCATATTTGCGAAAGGCTATTATATTTTAGATTGTGAATAAGAGTCCCAAATTGCTGTAAGGTGAAGGGGTTCCACAAATTTTTTGCTGAATGAGTGATCTTGAGTATTCTTAACCACAAAAAACATTTCCACTTCTCTTCTAATTATGGCTACATAACCTAGTGCCAGTGGCGTACTGAGGGGCTTACATGGGTTATAAAAATGTGCAACTGACTTGTTTTTACCTGTAAATAATCAAAATAGTTTCAAGTAAATTTTGAAAATTTGAATTAGCACGTTCCCTTTTTCCGAAGTTTCGCAGTCATGAGCCCGCAAAAATTTTCGGAACCTCAAAAGAAGCACCTTTACTCAAAAAAATTTGCCCCCCTCCCCTCTCCGAGGGGTAATGCTGGTACTGCATAGTGTTTGTTTTTGAGCATCAGGTAGTATAGCTGCATTGAATCATCTCAAGAACACATCTCATTTTGCAACTGACAGTTCCTTACCCTTAATATTATGAGTTGAAAAAATAAGCCTAACGTTGCAACTCCCGCTTGATATTACAAACATTGATCAAATGCAAACGACGGCACGTACGGCGGAATTTCTCACGCGAATACCTTACCTGCATTTCTTATGAAAGCAACCAGAATTTTTTCACTGCATTTGTGGCTTTATCGTTTCCATAGGCTCTCCCGTCATGCATTGTTTATCTAATCAATCTTGAGTATTGAGACTTTCAAGAAGTACTTATACTTATCTCCTATGTTCTTTTGGACTTCGAAATCTAGATGATGAACGAATATTTCGAATATTAGATCTTTAGGTTGGGCAACTACAGGGGAATTCAGTGATTGTCCAATCCTACCATTTCATATCTCCTAAAACTTGACAGAATGTAAAATTCAACAAAGAAGTTCATTTTTTGAAGAATCTAGTTTAAATTTCTGAGGATTTTTGTTTTTACTTGACGGCTCACGGCAAAGAAGTTTCTTTTATCATCATGGTAATTGAGTACCTTCATGTTAGGTGGTAACATAAGTTTTGTTACAGTTCTCAAATAATTTTTCTTCGACTTTGTAATCTTGGATGGCTGTAGCTTTTCGATATGTAGATGTCACACAAAAAATCTTTTGAATTTTGAAATTTTACCGATTTTTTCTTGGCTAGTTTTCAACCTGCGTCGTTGAAGAGCTTGAATTCCCGAACGCAAGTCTGTAAAAGATATCGAACTACAAAAAAAAGCTTGAAAAAAGAAAAAGTGAAGCTTGAAGTGCTGTCACAGAATTGCCTTAAAATTGCCTTTACATCTACTGTAATCATGCTCGTAAAGGTAGAAATTATGCCAATAGATAGCTCTTTGTCCCTTTCTCGTGACTCTGCCGAAGTCTCTAGGGTTTCTTTCCGAGATGGAAGAAAGTGTAGCTAAACTTATATGACGACCTATTACTTCAAAACTGTTCTTCGAGCCCTCCCACCGCATTAACAGCTGCTGAGAATCGCGAATGTTGCGAACACGTGGTTGGCAATAAAATTAATGATGATTGCTGAGAACAACATTACAACTGCGCGAAAATACTTGCCACATTTTTGGAGGTATCGATTTTGAGGCAATAACATTCAACATGGCCTACCTTTCATAATAAATCACAAAGTACATTTCGTTGCATCATTTTCGTCTGTAATTGCTGGAGAATATCTCTTTTTCTAGCACCACGACAAAAATATGTTTTCTTCCATGCAATATGTTTCCCTTGAGCGTCACTTCAGCAGTGCGAAGTGTCATTGATTCATACCTTTCTGTAAATAAATTATTCACGCTGGAGTGGCTTACAACCAACAGCGAAGTGCTTTCATTGCCTCAAAAGTCCTGAAATGGGATATTCTTATTGATTGTTAGCGCTACAAATGCACTTCCCACTGCCTCAAAGCAATTATTCTACTGTTTATCCATTGATTAACTGGTGTTTTTTGGTAAATTTATCTAATTCTTTGATTGAATCTTGGCTCATTTTAAGTTGTGCTTGCGTATTGAGTTGTCCGGGAAGGTTCCTTTTTTTGTTCCTTTTTTGGCGGTCATGGAAACTTATGAAATTCTGACCTGCGAGCGACTTGGGTATCAATCAAATCAGGTTTTTTTCTTCCTGGCAGCAACATCTCCCTCTGATCTATAGATACATTCTTGGCAGTGTTCACGCCATAATTTTTCATGCAATTGTTCAGTGACGCTAAAATTCCCTTGATTTTGGAAAATATATTCTTGCGTTCCGAAGGGGTTTTGGTAACCTCAATGTAGAATAAACAATTTGCGTCAACCGAATCTTTCAAGGTTCTTATTGTTAGATCGATTTCGAATTTTTATGGCTCATATATTCGAACCTCAGCTTTTTGCACCACATGTAGCGTGGGTGTGAAACTTTGTAAACTCCGTTTTCCAAAATATCAAAGTTAGACTCCTGCAAAGAATAATTAGACAATCACCTTCAAGTCGTCAAAGATCTGAAAATTCTTGTTTACTGCACCTGTGGGTATGATTTTACCAAAATCGAGATCTCCAACGACTTTGTGAATACTAGACAGCAGTTATGAAGGCTTCAAAAGCAGACACAGCTCTAATAATCTGATTTTCCTGATACCCCTGATATATTTTTGAAAGGTTGGAATAGAAGTCTAAAAAGTTAGCGGAGTTTTGTGAAGTGGTGGGTGGGGAATCTGGGCATAGTTTGGAACACTCAAAAAATTGTGGCTCTAGAGCTCAGTCACTAAAAAGGGAGGAAAAAGCGGCATTAAACGTGTTTCTAAATACTTTTTAGTCGTGAGGCTTTGGTTTTCATCTTCTTTTTCTTACTGTGGAGTTTCAGGCCGACAAATCAAAAAAACACAAGATCCCCGTCTAGGCGAACGGACGAAGCGTACTTAAACACTACTTTCTCTGCGTCAAAGTCCGTTATAGGAAGTAACGTTCAACCATGTACTAGCTTATTAGTCTGCGCAGATGATCGAAAGCCAATAATGAATGTGAGCATGCAAATGTTATTTGATCGAGCGATATCTGACAATACCTTTCTTCACATACTGAGCACACATCCTTTTAGATGCACATGTTTGCATCATTGACAGCAACTTTCTTTATATCCATTGATCACCGTCCCGAACATATGTAGGACTTTCAATGTTTGGCAAATTTCTGTCATTAGAACTAATGACGGAAAATTGTCGGTTTAATTTTGCCTTTCCGAAGATGTCAGTAGAGGTCAAAGTATCAAGCTGAACGGGAAGTTTGTTAGCACAATCTCTGAAGAACGCAACCTTTGCAATATGGGGTTAATTGTAATGCTAATAACTAGTTTGGAATCTATAGCATATTTTCCGAATTTAGACCATCTTGCCCCAAATTACCGAGACTTGGATAATCTTATTCTTCTAATTTCATCTCTGCAATAAAAGATTCATTAGAAATCCAGAATGCTTGCCAAAAGTACACCACTTACTCCTTCCAAGAGAAGTGAAGTGAACTCTTGCAAAAACATCAAATTGGAACGAAGTAAAGATTTTCCGATGGTGCTTGATTAACTTTCTGTTCAAAACACATATCAGGAAATTCTACAGTAATAAATGGATTATCATAAGCATATTGATGGAATTAGAATTGATACTGTAGCTTGCCTTGTATATTCGCAAATCGGATCTCCCACAATTTGATTTCATTTAGAGTGTAGCGGTGATAAATAGTGTGCATCCTTTTTCTTTTCTGATCTGATTGTGTAATGGATGATCAGCATTGCTGATTAATGGCTTTTAAAAATTCTATAATTGAAAGCGTAATCTCACCTTTTGTTAGTGTGTGTTATTGCCTCAATCCCAGGACCTTCAACTACGATCAAATCTTTTGCTTTTCCCTCTCATTACA